CAAAGTCTGATTGAGCTTGAAAGGATGATTGGAGGAAGAAGAATCAAAAGTGATTGAGCTGGAAAGGAGATGAAGAAGAAGAATCAAAGTCTGTTGATTGAGCTTGGAAAGGAGATGATCACGAGGAAGAAGAATCAAAGTCTGTTGATTGAGTTTGGAAGAGATGATCACGAGGAAGAAGAATCAAAGTCTGTTGACTGAGCTTGGAAAGGAGATGATCACGAGGAAAGAATCAAAGTCTGTTGATTGAGCTTGGAAAGGAGATGATCAAGAGGAAGAAGAATGATCAAAGTCTCTGTTGATTGAGCTTGGGAAACAGATGATCACGAGGAAGAAGAATCAAAGTCTGTTGATTGAGCTTGGAAAGAGATGATCACGAGGAAGAAGAATCAAAGTCTGCTGGACTGAGCTGGAAAGAGGAAGAAGAATGATTGAGCACGAGATGAACGAGAAAGAAGAATAAAGTCTGCTGACTGAGCTTGGAAAAGGAGATGATCACGAGGAAGAAGAATCAAAGTCTGTTGATTGAGCTTGGAAAGGAGATGATCAAGAGAAGAAGAATCAAAGTCTGTTGATTGAGCTTGGAAAGAGATGATCACGAGGAAGAAGAATCAAAGTCTGTTGACTGAGCTTGGAAAGGAGATGATCAATAGGAAGAAGAATCAAAGTCTGTTGATTGAGCTTGGAAGAGATGATCACGAGGAAGAAGAATCAAAGTCTGTTGACTTGAGAGATGACTACGAGGAAGAAGAATGGAAAAAGGAGATGATCACGAGGAAGAAGAATCAAAGTCTGTTGACTGAGCTTTGGAAAGGAGATGATCACGAGGAAGAAGAATCAAAGTCTGTTGACTGAGCTTGATCAAAAGGAGATGATCACGAGGAAGAAGAATCAAAGTCTGTTGATTGAGCTTGGAAAGGAGATGATCACGAGGAAGAAGAATCAAAAGTCTGTTGATTGAGCTGGAAGAGATGATCAGAGGAAGATGATCAAAGTCTGCTGATTGAGCTTGGAAAGAATGATCACGAGGAAGAAGAATCAAAGTCTGTTGATTGAGCTTGGAAAGGAGATGATCACGAGGAAGAAGAATCAAAGTCTGTTGATTGAGCTTGGAAAAAGGAGATGATCACGAGGAAGAAGTATCAAAGTCTGTTGATTGAGCTTGGAAAGGAGATGATGAGAAAGAAGAATCAAAGACTGAGAGATGAAGAAAGAAGAATCAAAGTCTGTTGATTGAGCTTGGAAAGGAGATGATCACGAGGAAGAAGAATCAAAGTCTGTTGACTGAGCTGGAAGGGAGATGATCACGAGGAAGAAGAATCAAGTCTGTTGATTGAGCTGAAAGGAGATGATCAGAGGAAGAAGAATCAAAGTCTGTTGATTGAGCTTGGAAAGGAGAGGATGATTGAGGAAGAAGAATCAAAGTCTGTTGATTGAGCTTGGGAAAGATGATCACGAGGAAGAAGAATCAAAGTCTGTTGATTGAGCTTGGAAAGGAGATGATCACGAGGAAGAAGAATCAAAGTCTGGACGTTGAAAGGAGTTGATCACGAGAAAGAAGAATCAAAGGTTGACTGAGCTTTGGAAAAGGAGATGATCACGAGGAAGAAGAATCAAAGTCTGTTGATTGAGCTTGGAAAGAGATGATCACGAGGAAGAAGAATCAAAGTCTGTTGACTGAGCTGGAAAGGAGATGATCACGAGGAAAAGAAGAATCAAAGTTGATTGAGCTTGAAGAGATGATGGAGGAAGGAGAATGATCTAGAGGAAGAAGAATCAAAGTCCGTTGATTGAGCTTGGAAAAGAGATGATCGCGAGGAAGAAGAACCAAAGTTCGTTGACTGAGTTTGGAAAGGAGATACATCACGAGGAAGAAGAATCACAGTTCGTTGATTGAGCTGAAAGGAGATGATCAAAGGAAGAAGAATCAAAGTTCGTTGATTGAGCTTGGAAAGGAGATGATCACGAGGAAGAAGAATCAAAGTCTGTTGATTGAGCTGGAAAGGAGATGATCACGAGGAAGAAGAATCAAAGTCTGCTGACTGAGCTTGAAAGGAAACGATCACGAGGAAGAAGAATCGTTCGTTGGACTGGAGCTTGGAAGGAGATGACTACGAGGAAGAAGAATCAAAGTCTGAGAAAAGAAGAATCAAAGTCTGTTGATTGAGCTTGGAAAGGAGATGATCACGGAGAAGAAGAATCAAAGTCTGTTGACTGAGCTTGGAAAAGGAGATGATCACGAGGAAGAAGAATCAAAGTCTGTTGACTGGAGCTTGGATTGACCCGTGGAGAGATGATCACGAGGAAGAAGAATCAAAGTCTGTTGACTGAGCTTGGAAAGGAGATGATCAAGGAAGAAGAATCAAAGTCTGTTGATTGAGCTTGGAAAGGAGATGATCACGAGGAAGAAGAATCAAAGTCTGTTGATTGAGCTTGGAAAGGAGATGATCACGAGGAAGAAGAATCAAAGTCTGTTGATTGAGCTTGGAAAGGGAGATGATCAAGAGGAAGAAGAATCAAAGTCTGTTGATTGAGCTTGGAAAGGAGATGATCATTAAAGAATCAAAGTCTGTGATTGAGCTTGGAAAAAAGAGATGAATCAAAGAAGAATCAAAGTCTGATTGAGCTTGGAAAGGAGATGATCACGAGGAAGAAGAATCAAAGTCTGTTGATTGAGCTTGGAAAGGAGATGATCACGAGGAAGAAGAATCAAAGTCTGTTGATTGAGCTTGATCACGAGGAAGAAGAATCAAAGTCTGTTGACTGAGCTTGGAAAGGAGATGATCACGAGGAAGAAGAATCAAAGTCTGTTGACTGAGCTTGGAAAGGAGATGATCACGAGGAAGAAGAATCAAAGTCTGTTGATTGAGCTTGGAAAAAGGAGATGATCACGAGGAAGAAGAATCAAAGTCTGTTGATTGAGCTTGGAAAGGAGATGATCAAGAGGAAGAAGAATCAAAGTCTGTTGACTGAGCTTGAAAGGAGATGATCACGAGGAAGAAGAATCAAAGTCTGTTGGATTGAGCTTGGAAAGGAGATGAAAGGAAGAAGAATCAAAGTCTGTTGACTGAGCTTGGAAAGGAGATGATCACGAGGAAGAGTTAGAATCAAAGTCTGTTGATTGAGCTTGGAAAGGAGATGATCAAGAGGAAGAAGAATCAAAGTCTGTTGACTGAGCTTGGAAAGGAGATGATCACGAGGAAGAAGAATCAAAGTCTGGACTGAGCTTGGAAAGGAGATGATCACGAGGAAGAAGAATCAAAGTCTGTTGACTGAGCTTTGGAAAGGAGATGATCACGGGAAGAAGAATCAAAGTCTGTTGATTGAGCTTGGAAAGGAGATGATCAAGAGGAAGAAGAATCAAAAGTCTGTTGATTGAGCTTGGAAAGGAGATGATCACGAGGAAGAAGAATCAAAGTCTGTTGATTGAGCTTGGAAAAGGAGATGATCACGAGGAAGAAGAATCAAAGTCTGTTGATTGAGCTTGGAAGGAGATGATCACGAGGAAGAAGAATCAAAGTCTGTTGATTGAGCTTGGAAAAGAGATGATCACGAGGAAGAAGAATCAAAGTCTGTTGATTGAGCTTGGAAAGGAGATGATCACGAGGAAGAAGAATCAAAGTCTGTTGACTGAGCTTGGAAAGGAGATGATCACGAGGAAGAAGAATCAAAGTCTGTTGATTGAGCTTGGAAGAAGAATCAAAGTCTGGAGATGATCACGAGGAAGAAGAATCAAAGTCTGTTGATTGAGCTTGGAAAGGAGATGATCAAGAGGAAGAAGAATCAAAAGTCTGTTGATTGAGCTTGGAAAGGAGATGATCACGAGGAAGAAGAATCAAAGTCTGTTGATTGAGCTTGGAAAGGAGACGATCAAGAGGAAGAAGAATCAAAGTCTGTTGACTGAGCTTGGAAAGGAGATGATCACGAGAAGAAGAATCAAAGTCTGTTGATTGAGCTTGGAAAGGAGATGATCACGAGGAAGAAGAATCAAAGTCTGTTGACTGAGCTTTGGGAAAGGAGATGATCACGAGGAAGAAGAATCAAAGTCTGTTGACTGAGCTTGGAAAAGGAGATGATCACGAGGAAGAAGAATCAAAGTCTGTTGACTGAGCTTGGAAAGGAGATGATCAAGAGGAAGAAGAATCAAAGTCTGTTGACTGAGCTTGGAAAGGAGATGATCAAGAGGAAGAAGAATCAAAGTCTGTTGGATTGAGCTTGGAAAAGGAGATGATCACGAGGAAGAAGAATCAAAGTCTGTTGACTGAGCTTGGAAAAGAGATGATCAAGAGGAAGAAGAATCAAAGTCTGTTGATTGAGAAAGAATCACGAGGAAGAAGAATCAAAAGTCCGTTGACTGAGCTTGGAAAGGAAAGGAGATGATCAAAGAGGAAGAAGAAGAATCAAAGTCTGTTGATTGAGCTTGGAAAGGAGATGATCACGAGGAAGAAGAATCAAAGTCTGTTGATTGAGCTTGGAAAGGAGATGATCAAAGAGGAAGAAGAATCAAAGTCTGTTGATTGAGCTTGGAAAGGAGATGATCACGAGGAAGAAGAATCAAAGTCTGTTGATTGAGCTTGGAAAGGAGATGATCTACGAGGAAGAAGAATCAAAGTCTGTTGATTGAGCTTTGGAAAGGAGATGATCAAGAGGAAGAAGAATCAAAGTCTGTTGATTGAGCTTGGAAAGGAGACGAGATGATCACGAGGAAGAAGAATCAAAGTCTGTTGACTGAGCTTGGAAAGGAGATGATCACGAGGAAGAAGAATCAAAGTCTGTTGACTGAGCTTGGAAAGGAAATCAGAGGAAGAGATGATCACGAGGAAGAAGAATCAAAGTCTGTTGATTGAGCTTGAAAGGAGATGATCACGAGGAAGAAGAATCAAAGTCTGTTGATTGAGCTTGGAAAGGAGATGATCACGAGGAAGAAGAATCAAAGTCTGTTGACTGAGCTTGGAACGAGGAAGAAGAATCAAAGTTCGTTGACGAGGAAAAGGAGATGATCAAGGAAGAAGAATCAAAGTCTGTTGACTGAGCTTGGAAAGGAGATGATCACGAGGAAGAAGATGATCAAAGAAGAATCTGTTGATTGAGCTTGGAAAGGAGATGATCAAGAGGAAGAAGAATCAAAGTCTGTTGATTGAGCTTGGAAAGGAGATGATCACGAGGGAAGAAGAATCAAAGTCTGCCGACTGAGCTTGGAAAGGAGATGATCAGGAAGAAGAATCAAAGTCTGCTGGCTGAGCTTGGAAAGGAGATGATCAAGAGGAAGAAGAATCAAAAAGTCTGTTGATTGAGCTTGGAAAAGAGATGATCAAGAGGAAGAAGAATCAAAGTCTGTTGATTGAGCTTGGAAAGGAGATGATCAAGAGGAAGAAGAATCAAAGTCTGCTTGATTGAGCTTTGAAAGGAGATGATCAAGAGGAAGAAGAATCAAATTGTTGGATGAGCTTGGAAAGGAGATGATCAAGAGGAAGAAGAATCAAAGTCTGTTGATTGAGCTTGGAGGAATGATCAATGGAGGAAGAAGAATCAAAGTCTGTTGACTGAGAAAGGAGATGAATCAGGAAGAAGAATCAAAGTCTGATTGAGCTTGGAAAGGAGATGATCACGAGGAAGAAGAATCAAAGTCTGTTGACTGAGCTTTTTGAAAGGAGATGATCAAGAGGAAGAAGAATCAAAAGTCTGTTGATTGAGCTTAAAAGCGAGATGATCACGAGGAAGAATAATTCTGTTGATTGAGCTGGAAAGGAGATGATCAGAAAGAAGAATCAAAGTCTGTTGATTGAGCTTGGAAAGGAGATGACCAGGAAGAAGAATCAAAGTCTGCTGATTGAGCTTTTGGAAAGGAGGATGATCACGAGAAGAAGAATCAAAGTCTGTTGATTGAGCTTGGAAAGGAGATGATCACGAGGGGAAGAAGAATCAAAGAAGAATCTGTTGATTGAGCTTGGAAATGACTGGAAATGATCAGATGATCGAGGAAGAAGAATCAAAGTCTGTTGATTGAGCTTGGAAAAGGAGATGATCACGAGGAAGAAAGAATCAAAGCTCGCTTGGATGAGCTGGAAAGAGATGATCACGAGAAGAAGATCAAAGTCTGTTGACTGAGCTTGGAAAGGATATGATCACGAGAACCTCAAGAACCGTTGATTGTTGGAAAGGAGATGATCACGAGGAAGAAGAATCAAAGATTGATTGAGCTTGAGATGGAAAAAGATGAAAGGAGATCACGAGGAAGAAGAATCAAAGTCCTGTTGATTGAGCTTGGAAAGGAGATGATCACGAGGAAGAAGAATCAAAGTCTGTTGGTTGACTGGAAAGGAGATGATCACGGAAATAAGAATCAAAGTCTGTTGATTGAGCGAGGAGATGATCACAGAAGAAGAATCAAAGTCTGTTGATTGAGCTTTGGAAAGGAGGAAGAAGAATCAAAGTCTGCTGACTGAGAAAAGAAGAGATGATCACGAGGAAGAAGAAGTCTGTTGATTGAGCTTGGAAAGGAGATGATCACGAGGAAGAAGAATCAAAGTCTGTTGATTTGAGCTTTGGAAAGGAGATGATCAAGAGGAAGAAGAATCAAAGTCTGTTGATTGAGCTTGGAAAGGAGGTGATCAAGAAGAAGAATCAAAGTCTGCTGGACTGAGCTTGGAAAGGAGATGATCACGAGGAAGAATAATGTTGATTGAAAAGGAGATGATCACGAGGAAGAAGAATCAAAGTCTGTTTGATTGGAGCTTGGAAAGGAGAGATGATCAAAGTCGAGGAAGAAGAATCAAAGTCTGTTGATTGGAGCTTGGAAAGGAGATGATCAAGAGGAAGAAGAATCAAAGTCTGGAAAAAGGAGATGATCACGAGGAAGAAGAATCAAAGTCTGTTGATTGAGCTTGGAAAGGAGATGATCACGAGGAAGAAGAATCAAAGTCTGTTGATTGAGCTTGGAAAGGAGATGATCACGAGAAGAAGAATCAAAGTCTGTTGACTGAGCTTTGGAAAGGAGATGATCACGAGGAAGAAGAATCACAGTCTGTTGGATTGAGCTTGGAAAGGAGATGATCAAGAGGAAGAAGAATCAAAGTCTGTTGATTGAGCTGGAAAGGAGATGATCACGAGGAAGAAGAATCAAAGTCTGTTGATTGAGCTTGGAAAGGAGATGATCACGAGGAAGAAGAATCAAAGTCTGTTGGATTGAGCTTGGAAAGGAGATGATCACGAGGAAGAAGAATCAAAGTCTGTTGACTGAGCTTTGGAAAGGAGATGATCACGAGGAAGAAGAATCAAAGTCTGTTGACTGAGCTTGGAAAGGAGATGATCAAGAGGAAGAAGAATCAAAGTCTGTTGATTGAGCTTGGAAAGGAGATGATCACGAGAAGAAGAATCAAAGTCTGACTGAGCTTGGAAAGGAGATGACACGAGAAGAAGAATCAAAGTCTGTTGATTGAGCTTGGGAAAGATGATGATCAAGAGGAAGAAGAATCAAAGTCTGTTGATTGAGCTTGGAAAGGAGATGATCACGAGGAAGAAGAATCAAAGTCTGTTGATTGAGCTTGGAAAGAGAGATGATCACGAAGAAGAATCAAAATCGGTTGATTGAGAAAGGAGATGATCAAGGAAGAAGAATCTCTGTTGATTGAGCTTGGAAAGGAGATGATCACGAGGAAGAAGAATCAAAGTCTGTTGATTGAGCTTGGAAAGAGGAAGAAGAATCAAAGTCTGATTGAGCTTGGAAAGGAGATGATCACGAGGAAGAAGAATCAAAGTCCGTTGATTGAGCTTGGAAAGGAGATGATCAAGAGGAAGAAGAATCAAAGTCTGTTGATTGAGCTTGGAAAGGAGATGATCATCAAAGTCTGTTGATTGAGCTTGGAAAGGAGATGATCACGAGGAAGAAGAATCACAGTCTGTTGATTGAGCTTGGAAAAGGAGATGATCAAGAAGAAATCAAAGTCTGTTGATTGAGCTTGGAAAGGAGATGATCAAGAGGAAGAAGAATCAAAGTCTGTTGATTGAGCTTGGAAAGGAGATGATCACGAGGAAGAAGAATCAAAGTCTGTTGATTGAGCTTGGAAAGGAGATGATCAAGAGGAAGAAGAATCAAAGTCTGTTGACTGAGCTTGGAAAGGAGATGATCACGAGGAAGAAGAATCAAAGTCTGTTGACTGAGCTTGGAAAGGAGATGAAGGAAGAAGAATGTCTGTTGACTGAGCTTGGAAAGGAGATGATCAAGAGGAAGAAGAATCAAAGTCTGTTGATTGAGCTTGGAAAGGAGATGATCACGAGGAAGAAGAATCAAAGTCTGTTGATTGAGCTTGGAAAGGAGATGATCACGAGGAAGAAGAATCAAAGTCTGTTGACTGAGCTTTGGAAAGGAGATGATCACGAGGAAGAAGAATCAAAAGGAGATGATCAAGAGGAAGAAGAATCAAAGTTGACTGAGCTTGGAAAGGAGATGATCAAGAGGAAGAAGAATCAAAGTCTGTTGACTGAGCTTGGAAAGGAGATCAAAGTCTGTTGATTGAGCTTGGAAAGGAGATGAAGAGGAAGAAGAATCAAAGTCTGTTGATTGAGCTTGGAAAGGAGATGATCACGAGGAAGAAGAATCAAAGTCTGTTGATTGAGCTTTGGAAAGGAGATGAAAGTCTAAGAGGAAGAAGAACTTAAATCAAAGTCTGTTGAAAAAGGAGCTTGAAAGGAATGATCACGAGGAAGAAGAATCAAAGTCTGTTGACTGGAGCTTGGAAAGCTTGGATCACGAGGAAGAAGAATCAAAGTCTGTTGATTGAGAAAAAGGAGATGATCACGAAAGAAGAATCAAAGTCTGTTGATTGAGCTTGAAAGGAGATGATCACGAGGAAGAAGAATCAAAACTGAGCTTGGAAAGGAGATGTTGATTGAGCTTGGAAAGGAGATGATCAAGAGGAAGAAGAATCAAAGTCTGTTGATTGAGCTTGGAAAAAGAGATGATCACGAGGAAGAAGAATCAAAGTCTGTTGATTGAGCTTGGAAAGAGATGATCAAGAGGAAGAAGAATCAAAGTCTGTTGATTGAGCTTGGAAAGGAGATGATCAAGAGGAAGAAGAATCAAAGTCTGTTGATTGATTGAGCTCTGGAAGACGATCACGAGGAAGAAGAATGACTGAGTTTCTGGAAAGGAGATGGATCAAGAGGAAGAAGAATCAAAGTCGTTGACTGAGCTGGAAAGGAGATGATCAAGAGGAAGAAGAATCAAAGTCTGTTGATTGAGCTGAAAAGGAGATGATCACGAGGAAGAAGAATCAAAGTCTGTTGATTGAGCTTGGAAAGGAGATGATCACGAGGAAGAAGAATCAAAGTCTGTTGACTGAGCTTGGAAAGGAGATGATCACGAGGAAGAAGAATCAAAAGTCTGTTGACTGAGCTTGGAAAGGAGATGATCACGAGGAAGAAGAATCAAAGTCTGTTGACTGAGCTTGGAAAGGAGATGATCACGAGGAAGAAGAATCAAAGTCTGTTGACTTGAGCTTGGAAAGGAGATGATCAAGAGGAAGAAGAATCAAAGTCTGTTGATTGAGCTTGGAAAGGAGATGATCACGAGGAAGAAGAATCAAAGTCTGTTGACTGAGCTTGGAAATCACGAGATGATCACGAGGAAGAAGAATCAAAGTCTGTTGACTGAGCTTGGAAAAGGAGATGACACGAGGAAGAAGAATCAAAGTCTGTTGATTGAGCTTGGAAAGGAGATGATCACGAGGAAGAAGAATCAAAGTCTGTTGATTGAGCTTGGAAAGGAGATGATCAAGAGGAAGAAGAATCAAAGTCTGTTGACTGAGCTTGGAAAGGAGACGATCAAGATGAAGAAGAATCAAAGTCTGTTGATTGAGCTTGGAAAGGAGATGATCAAGAGGAAGAAGAATCAAAGTCTGTTGACTGAGCTTGGAAAGGAGATGATCACGAGGAAGAAGAATCAAAGTCTGTTGACTGAGCTTGGAAAGGAGATGATCAAGTGGAAGAAGAATCAAAGTCTGTTGGCTGAGCATGGAAAGGAGATGATCAAGAGGAAGAAGAATCAAAGTCTGTTGATTGAGCTTGGAAAGGAGATGATCACGAGGAAGAAGAATCAAAGTCTGTTGATTGAGCTTGGAAAGGAGATGATCACGAGGAAGAAGAATCAAAGTCTGTTGATTGAGCTTGGAAAGGAGATGATCAAGAGGAAGAAGAAGAATCAAAGTCTGTTGACTGAGCTTGGAAAGGAGATGATCAAGAGGAAGAAGAATCAAAGTCTGTTGGATTGAGCTTGGAAAGGAGATGATCACGAGGAAGAAGAATCAAAGTCTGTTGATTGAGCTTGGAAAGGAGATGATCACGAGGAAGAATCAAAGTCTGTTGACTGAGCTTGGAAAAGAGATGATGACAAGGAAGAAGAATCAAAGTCTGTTGATTGAGCTTGGAAAGGAGATGATCAAGAGGAAGAAGAATCAAAGTCTGTTGATTGGAGCTTGGAAAGGAGATGATCACGAGGAAGAAGAATCAAAGTCTGTTGACTGAGCTTGGAAAGGAGACGATCAAGATGAAGAAGAATCAAAGTCTGTTGATTGAGCTTGGAAAGGAGATGATCAAGAGGAAGAAGAATCAAAGTCTGTTGGGATTGAGCAAAGGAGATGATCACGAGGAAGAAGAATCAAAGTCTGTTGATTGAGCTTGGAAAGGAGATGATCAAAGTCTGAGAAGAAGAATCAAAGTCTGTTGACTGAGCTTGGAAAGGAGATGATCACGAGGAAGAAGAACTCAAAGTCTGTTGACTGGGAGTCTGTTGGAAAGGAGATGATCACGAGGAAGAAGAATCAAAGTCTGTTGATTGAGCTTGGAAGGAGATGATCAAGAGGAAGAAGAATCAAAGTCTGTTGACTGAGCTTGGAATCAAGATGAAGAAGAATCAAAAGTCACTGAGCATGGAAAGAGAGATCACGAGAAAGAAGAATCAAAGTCTGTTGGACTGAGCTTGGAAAGGAGATGATCACGAGGAAGCAAATCACAGTCTGTTGATTGAGCTTGGAAAAAGGAGATGATCAAGAGGAAGAAGAATCAAAGTCCGTTGACTGAGCTTGGAAAGGAGATGATCACGAGGAAGAAGAATCAAAGTCTGTTGATTGAGCTTGGAAAGGAGATGATCACGAGGAAGAAGAATCAAAGTCTGTTGGACTGAGCTTGGAAAGAGATGATCACGAGGAAGAAGAATCAAAGTCTGTTGATTGAGCTTGGAAAGGAGATGATCACGAGGAAGAAGAATCAAAGTCTGTTGACTGAGCTTTGGAAAGGAGATGATCACGAGGAAGAAGAATCAAAGTCTGTTGATTGAACTTGGAAAGAGATGATCACGAGGAAGAAGAATCAAAGTCTGTTGATTGAGCTTGGAAAGGAGATGATCACGAGGAAGAAGAATCAAAGTCTGTTGACTGAGCTTGGAAAGGAGATGATCAAGAGGAGCTGGAAATGAGATGATCAAAGGAAGAAGAATCAAAGACTGTTGATTGAGCTTGGAAAGGAGATGATCAGAGGAAGAAGAATCAAAGTCTGTTGATTGAGCTTGGAAAGAGATGATCAAGAGGAAGAATCAAAGTCTGTTGACTGAAAGCACGAGGAAGAAGAATCAAAGTCTGTTGAAAAGGAGATGATCACGAGGAAGAAGAATCAAAGACTGAGCTTGGAAAGGAGATGACGAGGAAGAAGAATCAAAGTCTGTTGACTGAGCTTGGAAAGGAGATGATCACGAGGAAGAAGAATCAAAAGTCTTGTTGATTGAGCTTGGAAAGGAGATGATCACGAGGAAGAAGAATCAAAGTCTGTTGATTGAGCTTTGGAAAGGAGATGATCACGAGGAAGAAGAATCAAAGTCTGTTGATTGAGCTTGGAAAGGAGATGATCACGAGGAAGAAGAATCAAAGTCTGTTGACTGAGCTTGGAAAGGAGATGATCACGAGGAAGAAGAATCAAAGTCTGTTGATTGAGCTTGGAAAGGAGATGATCACGAGGAAAGAATGAATCAAAGTCTGTTGACTGAGCTTGGAAAGGAGATGATCACGAGGAAGAAGAATCAAAGTCTGTTGATTGAGCTTGGAAAGGAGATGATCAAAGTCGACTGGAAGAAGAACGAGGAAGGCAACCAAAGTCTGTTGACTGAGCTTGGAAAGGGAAGAAGAATGTCTGTTGATGAGCAAAGGAGACGAGGAAGAAGAATCAAAGTCTGTTGATTGAGCTTGGAAAGGAGATGATCACGAGGAAGAAGAATCAAAGTCTGTTGATTGAGCTTGAAAGAGATGATCAAGGGAAGAAGAATCAAAGTCTGTTGAAATTGAGAGAAAGAAGAATCTTGGAAAGGAGATGATCACGAGGGGAAGAAGAATCAAAGTCTGTTGATTGAGCTTGGAAAGGAGAGATGATCACGAGGAAGAAGAATCAAAGTCTGTTGATTGAGCTTGGAAAGGAGATGATCACGAGGAAGAAGAATCAAAGTCTGTTGACTGAGCTGAGCTGGAAAGGAGATGATCACGAGGAAGAAGAATCAAAGTCTGTTGACTGAGCTTGAAAGGAGATGATGAGGAAGAAGAATCAAAGTCTGTTGATTGAGCTTTGGAAAGGAGATGATCAAGAGGAAGAAGAATCAAAGTCTGTTGATTGAGCTTGGAAAGGAGATGATCACGAGGAAGAAGAATCAAAGTCTGTTGATTGAGCTTGGAAAGGAGATGATCAAGAGGAAGAAGAATCAAAGTCTGTTGGATTGAGCTTGGAAAAGATGATCACGAGGAAGAAGAATCAAAGTCTGTTGACTGAGCTTGGAAAGGAGATGATCAAGAGGAAGAAGAATCAAAGTCTGTTGACTGAGCTTGGAAAGGAGATGATCAAGAAGAAGAATCAAAGTCTGCTGAGCGAAAGGAGATGATCAAGAGGAAGAAGAATCAAAGTCTGCTGACTGAGCTTGGAAGGAGATGATCATGAGGAAGAGAATCAAAGAGAGCTGAGATGATCACGAGGAAGAAGAGGAAGAAGAATCAAAGTCTGTTGATTGACTGAGCTTGGAAAGGAGATGATCACGAGGAAGAAGAATCAAAGTCTGTTGATTGAGCTGGAAAGAGATGATGACTACGAGGAAGAAGAATCAAAGTCTGTTGACTGAGCTTGGAAAAAAGGAGATGATCACGAGGAAGAAGAATCAAAGTCTGTTGACTGAGCTTGGAAAGATGATGATCGAGGAAGAAGAATCAAAGTCTGTTGATTGAGCTTGGAGATGATCACGAGGAGATGATCACGAGGAAGAAGAATCAAAGTCTGTTGATTGAGCTTTTGAAAGGAGATGATCACGAGGAAGAAGAATCAAAGTCTGTTGACTGAGCTTGGAAAGGAGATGATCAATGAGGAAGAAGAATCGTTAGTCTGTTGATTGAGCTTGAAAGGAGATGATCACGAGGAAGAAGAATCAAAGTCTGTTGATTGAGCTTGGAAAGGAGATGATCACGAGGAAGAAGAATCAAAGTCTGTTGATTGAGCTTTGGAAAGGAGATGATCACGAGGAAGAAGAATCAAAGTCTGTTGACTGAGCTTGGAAAGGAGATGATCACGAGAAAGAAGAATCAAAGTCTGTTGATTGAGATTGGAAAGAGATGATCACGAGGAAGAAGAATCAAAGTCTGTTGACTGAGCTTGGAAAGGAGATGATCACGAGGAAGAAGAATCACAGTCTGTTGATTGAGCTTGGAAAGGAGATGATCAAGAGGAAGAAGAATCAAAGTCTGTTGATTGAGCTTGGAAAGGAGATGATCACGAGGAAGAATCAAAGTCTGTTGACTGAGCTTGGAAAGGAGATGATCACGAGGAAGAAGAAGAACAAAGTCTGTTGATTGAGCTTGGAAAGGAGATGATCACGAGGAAGAAGAATCAAAGTCTGTTGATTGAGCTTGGAAAAGGAGATGATCACGAGGAAGAAGAATCAAAGTCTGTTTGATTGAGCTTGATCACGGAAAGGAGATGATCACGAGGAAGAAGAATCAAAGTCTGTTGACTGAGCTTGGAAAGGAGATGACGAGGAAAGAAGAATCAAAGTCTGTTGATTGAGCTTGGAAAGGAGATGATCACGAGGAAGAAGAATCAAAGTCTGTTGACTGAGCTGGAAAGGAGATGATCACGAGGAAGAAGAATCAAAGTCTGTTGATTGAGCTTGGAAAGGAGATGATCACATGAGGAAGAAGAATCAAAGTCTGTTGATTGAGCTTGGAAGAGATGATCACGAGGAAGAAGAATCAAAGTCTGTTGATTGAGCTTGGAAAGGAGATGATCACGAGGAAGAAGAATCAAAGTCTGTTGATTGAGCTTGGAAAGGAGATGATCACGAGGAAGAAGAATCAAAAGTCTGTTGAGAGAGATGGAAAAGAAATGATCACGAGGAAGAAGAATCAAAGTCTGTTGATTGAGCTTGGAAAGGAGATGATCACGAGGAAGAAGAATCAAAGTCTGTTGATTGAGCTTGGAAAGGAGATGATCACGAGGAAGAAGAATCAAAGTCTGTTGACTGAGCTTTGGAAAGGAGATGATCACGAGGAAGAAGAATCAAAGTCTGTTGACTGGAGCTTGGAAAGGAGATGATCAAGAGGAAGAAGAATCAAAGTCTGTTGACTGAGCTTGGAAAGGAGATGATCACGAGGAAGAAGAATCAAAGTCTGTTGACTGAGCTTGGAAAAGGAGATGATCAAGAGGAAGAAGAATCAAAGTCTTTTGACTGAGCTGGAAAGGAGATGATCAAGAGAAGAAGAATCAAAGTCTGTTGACTGAGCTTGGAAAGGAGATGATCACGAGGAAGAAGAATCAAAGTCTGTTGATTGAGCTTGGAAAGAGATGATCACGAGGAAGAAGAATCAAAGTCTGTTGATTGAGCTTGGAAAGGAGATGATCACGAGGAAGAAGAATCAAAGTCTGTTGACTGAGTTGAAAAAGAAAATGATCACGAGGAAGAAGAATCAAAGTCTGTTGATTGAGCTTGGAAAGGAGATGATCACGAGGAAGAAGAATCAAAGTCTGTTGACTGAGCTTGGAAAGGAGATGATCACGAGGAAGAAGAATCAAAGTCTGATGACTGAGCTTGGAAAGGAGATGATCACGAGGAAGAAGAATCAAAGTCTGTTGATTGAGCTTTGGAAAGGAGATGATCACGAGGAAGAAGAATCAAAAGTCTGTTGATTGAGCTTGGAAATCACGGAGATGATCACGAGGAAGAAGAATCAAAAGTCTGTTGACTGAGCTTGGAAAGGAGATGATCACGAGGAAGAAGAATCAAAGTCTGTTGACTGAGCTTGAAAGGAGATGATCAAGAAGAAGAATCAAAGTCTGTTGACTGAGCTTGGAAAGGAGAGATGATCACGAGGAAGAAGAATCAAAGTCTGTTGATTGAGCTTGGAAAGGAGATGATCAAAAGTCTGTTGACTGAGAGATGATCACGAAAGAAGAATCAAAGTCTGTTGATTGAGCTTTTGAAAGGAGATGATCAAGAGGAAGAAGAATCAAAGTCTGTTGACTGAGCTTGGAAAGGAGATGATCACGAGGAAGAAGAATCAAAGTCTGACTGATTGAGCTTGAGGAAAAGAAGAGATGAGCTACATGAGGAAGAAGAATCAAAGTCTGTTGACTGAGCTTGGAAAGCTCAAAGTCTGTTGAAAAAGGAGATGATCACGAGGAAGAAGAATCAAAGTCTGTTGATTGAGCTTTGGAAAGGAGATGATCACGAGGAAGAAGAATCAAAGTCTGTTGATTGAGCTTGGAAAGGAGAGATGATCAGGGAAGAAGAATCAAAGTCTGTTGACTGAGCTTGGAAAGGAGATGATCACGAGGAAGAAGAATCAAAGTCTGTTGACTGAGCTGGAAAGGAGATGATCACGAGGAAGAAGAATCAAAGTCTGTTGATTGAGCTTGGAAAGGAGATGATCAGGAGGAAGAAGAATCAAAGTCTGTTGATTGAGCTTGGAAAGGAGATGATCACGAGGAAGAAGAATCAAAGTCTGTTGATTGAGCTTGGAAAAGAGATGATCACGAGGAAGAAGAATCAAAGTCTGTTGACTGAGCTTGGAAAGGAGATGATCACGAGGAAGAAGAATCAAAGTCTGTTGACTGAGCTTGGAAAGGAGATGATCACGAGGAAGAAGAATCAAAGTCTGTTGACTGAGCTGGAGCTTCCGTTGAAGCTTGGAAAGGAGATGATCACGAGGAAGAAGAATCAAAGTCTGTTGATTGAGCTTGGAAAAGGAGATGATCACGAGGGAAGAAGAATCAAAAGTCTGTTGACTGAGCTTGGAAAGGAGATGATCACGAGGAAGAAGAATCAAAGTCTGTTGATTGAGCTTGGAAAGAGATGATCACGAGGAAGAAGAATCAAAGTCTGTTGATTGAGCTTGGAAAAGGAGATCACGAGGAAGAAGAATCAAAGTCTGTTGATTGAGCTTGGAAGAATGAATCAAAAGTCTGTTGACTGAGCTTGGAAAGGAGATCACGAGGAAGAAGAATCAAAGTCTGATTGAGCTTGGAAAGAGAGATGATCAAGGAAGAAGAATCAAAGTCTGTTGATTGAGCTTGGAAAGGAGATGATCACGAGGAAGAAGAATCAAAGTCTGTTGATTGAGCTTGGAAAGGAGATGATCACGAGGAAGAAGAATCAAAGTCTGTTGACTGAGCTTGGAAGGAGATGATCATAAAGTCTGTTGACTGAGCTTGGAAAGGAGATGATCACGAGGAAGAAGAATCAAAGTCTGTTGATTGAGCTTGGAAAGGAGATGATCGAGAAGAAGAATCAAAGAGAGCTTGGAAAGGAGATGAATCAAAGTCTGTTGACTGAGCTTGGAAAGGAGATGATCACGAGAAAGAAGAACTGTCTGTTGACTGAGCTTTGGAAAGGAGATGATCACGAGGAAGAAGAATCAAAGTCTGTTGATTGAGCTTGAAAGGAGATGATCAGAGGAAGAAGAATCAAAGTCTGTTGATTGAGCTTGAAAGATGATGACGAGGAAGAAGAATCAAAGTCGAGGAGATGATCACGAGGAAGAAGAATCAAAGTCTGTCTGACTGAGCTTGGAAAGGAGATGATCACGAGGAAGAAGAATCAAAGTCTGTTGATTGAGCTTGGAAAGGAGATGATCACGAGGAAGAAGAATCACAGTGTGTTGATTGAGCTTGGAAAGGAGATGATCACGAGGAAGAAGAATCAAAGTCTGTTGACTGAGCTTGGAAAAGAAAATGATCACGAGGAAGAAGAATCAAAGTCTGTTGATTGAGCTTCGAAAGGAGATGATCACGAGGAAGAAGAATCAAAGTCTGTTGACTTAGCTTGGAAAGGAGATGATCACGAGGAAGAAGAATCAAAGTCTGTTGACTGAGCTTGGAAAGGAGATGATCACGAGGAAGAAGAATCAAAGTCTGTTGATTGAGCTTGGAAAGAGATGATCACGAGGAAGAAGAATCAAAGTCTGTTGACTGAGCTTGGAAAGGAGATGATCAGGAGGAAGAAGAATCAAAGTCTGTTGATTGAGCTTGGAAAAGGAGATGATCACGAGGAAGAAGAATCAAAGTCTGTTGATTGAGCTTGGAAAGGAGATGATCACGAGGAAGAAGAATCAAAGAAGCTTGGAAAAGGAGATGATCAAAAGAAGAATCAAAAGTCTGTTGACTGAGCTTGAAAAGAGATGATCACGAGGAAGAAGAATCAAAGTCTGTTGATTGAGCTTGGAAAGGAGATGATCACGAGGAAGAAGAATCAAAGTCTGTTGACTGAGCTTGAAAAGGAGATGATCACGAGGAAGAAGAATCAAAGTCTGTTGACTGAGCTTGGAAAGGAGATGATCACGAGGAAGAAGAATCAAAGTCTGTTGATTGAGTTGGAAAGGAGATGATCACGAGGAAGAAGAATCAAAGTCTGTTGACTGAGCTTGGAAAGGAGATGATCACGAGGAAGAAGAATCAAAGTCTGTTGACTGAGCTTGGAAAGGAGATGATCACGAGGAAGAAGAATCAAAGTCTGTTGACTGAGCTTGGAAAGAGATGATCATCAAAGTCTGTTGATTGAGCTTGGAAAGGAGATGATCACGAGGAAGAAGAATCAAAGTCTGTTGACTGAGCTTGGAAAGGAGATGATCACGGAGGAATCAAAGAAGAATGACACGAAGTCAAAGTCTGTTGATTGAGCTTGGAAAGGAGATGATCACGAGGAAGAAGAATCAAAGTCTGTTGATTGAGCTTGGAAGGAGATGATCACGAGGAAGAAGAATCAAAGTCTGTTGATTGAGCTTGGAAAGGAGATGATCACGAGGAAGAAGAATCAAAGTCTGTTGACTGAGCTTGGAAAGGAGATGATCACGAGGAAGAAGAATCAAAGTCTGTTGATTGAGCTTGGAAAGGAGATGATGATCACGAGGAAGAAGAATCAAAGTCTGTTGATTGAGCTTGGAAAGGAGATGATCACGAGGAAGAAGAATCAAAGTCTGTTGATTGAGCTTGGAAAGGAGATGATCACGAGGAAGAAGAATCAAAGAGCTGGTGAGATTGAGGAAGAAGAATTGAGCTTGACTGAAAAAGGAGATGATCACGAGGAAGAAGAATCAAAGTCTGTTGACTGAGCTTGGAAAGGAGATGATCAAAGGAGATGATCACGAGGAAGAAGAATCAAAAGTCTGTTGACTGAGCTTGGAAAGGAGATGATCACGAGGAAGAAGAATCAAAGTCTGTTGAGCTTGGAAAGGAGATGATCTGAGCTTGGAAAGGAGATGATCACGAGGAAGAAGAATCAAAGTCTGTTGACTGAGCTTGGAAAGGAGATGATCACGAGGAAAGAAGAATCAAAGTCTGTTGATTGAGCTTGGAAAAGGAGATGATCACGAGGAAGAAGAATCAAAGTCTGTTGATTGAGCTTGGAAAGGAGATGATCACGAGGAAGAAGAATCAAAGTCTGTTGATTGAGCTTGGAAAGGAGATGATCACGAGGAAGAAGAATCAAAGTCTGTTGATTGAGCTTGAAAGAAGATGATCACGAGGAAGAAGAATCAAAAGTCTGTTGACTTGAGCTTGGAAAGGAGATGATCACGAGGAAGAAGAATCAAAGTCTGTTGACTGATTGAGATCATCACGAGGAAGAAGAATCAAAAGAAGAATCACAGTCTGTTGATTGAGCTTGGAAGGAGATGATCACGAGGAAGAAGAATCAAAGTCTGTTGATTGAGCTTGGAAAGATGATCATTGAGGAAGAAGAATCAAAAGTCTGTTGACTGGAGCTTGGAAAGGAGATGATCACGAGGAAGAAGAATCAAAGTCTGTTGATTGAGCTTGGAAAGGAGATGATCACGAGGAAGAAGAATCAAAGTCTGTTGATTGAGCTTGGAAAGGAGATGATCACGAGAAGAAGAATCAAAGTCTGTTGATTGAGCTTGGAAAGGAGATGATCACGAGGAAGAAGAATCAAAGTCTGTTGATTGAGCTTGGAAAGGAGATGATCACGAGGAAGAAGAAGAATTGGAAAGGAGATGATCAAAGTCAAAGTCTCAAGTTGACTGAGCTTGGAAGGAGATGATCACGAGGAAGAAGAATCAAAGTCTGTTGATTGAGCTTGGAAAGGAGATGATCACGAGGAAGAAGAATCAAAGTCTGTTGATTGAGCTTGGAAAGGAGATGATCACGAGGAAGAAGAATCAAAGTCTGTTGATTGAGCTTGGAAAGGAGATGATCACGAGGAAGAAGAACGAAAGTCTTGACTGAGCTTGGAAAGGAGATGATCAAAGTCGAGGAAGAAGAATCAAAGTCAAAGTCTGTTGATTGAGCTTGGAAAGGAGATGATCACGAGAAGAAGAATCAAAGTCTGTTGATTGAGCTTGGAAAGGAGATGATCACGAGGAAGAAGAATCAAAGTCTGTTGATTGAGCTGGAAAGAGATGATCACGAGGAAGAAGAATCAAAGTCTGTTGACTGAGCTTGGAAAGGAGATGATCACGAGGAAGAAGAATCAAAGTCTGTTGATTGGAGCTTGGAAAAAGATGATCACGAGGAAGAAGAATCAAAGTCTGTTGATTGAGCTTGGAAAGGAGATGATCACGAGGAAGAAGAATCAAAGTCTGTTGATTGAGCTTGGAAAGGAGATGATCACGAGGAAGAAGAATCAAAGTCTGTTGACTGAGCTTGGAGAAGGAAAGAAGAATCAAAGTCGACTGGAAAAGGAGAGAATCAAAGTCTGTTGACTGAGCTTGGAAAGGAGATGATCACGAGGAAGAAGAATCAAAGTCTGTTGAGGAAGTCTTGGAAAGAGATTGAGGAAGAAGAATCAAAGAATTGAAGGAGATGATCACGAGGAAGAAGAATCAAAGTCTGTTGATTGAGCTTGGAAAGGAGATGATCACGAGGAAGAAGAATCAAAGTCTGTTGATTGAGCTTGGAAAGGAGATGATCACGAGGATCAAGTCGACTGAGCTTGGAAAGGAGAGAAAGAAGAAAGTCTGTTGACTGAGCTTGGAAAGGAGATGATCACGAGGAAGAAGAATCAAAGTCTACGTTGATTGAGCTTGGAAAGGAGATGATCACGAGGAAGAAGAATCAAAGTCTGTTGATTGAGCTTGGAAAGGAGATGATCACGAGGAAGAAGAATCAAAGTCTGTTGATTGAGCTTGGAAGGAGATGATCACGAGGAAGAAGAATCAAAGTCTGTTGATTGAGCTTGGAAAGGAGATGATCACGAGGAAGAAGAATCAAAGTCTGTTGATTGAGCTTGGAAAGAGAGATGATCACGAGGAAGAAGAATCAAAGTCTGTTGAAAGGAGATGATCACGAGGAAGAAGAATCAAAGTCTGTTGAAAAAGGAGATGATCACGAGGAAGAAGAATCAAAGTCTGTTGATTGAGCTTGGAAAAGGAGATGATCACGAGGAAGAAGAATCAAAGTCTGTTGATTGAGCTTGGAAAGGAGATGATCACGAGGAAGAAGAATCAAAGTCTGTTGACTGAGCTTGGAAAGGAGATGATCACGAGGAAGAAGAATCAAAGTCTGTTGACTGAAAGGAGATGATCACGGGAAAAGGAGATGAAAGGAGATGATCACGAGGAAGAAGAATCAAAGTCTGTTGATTGAGCTTGGAAAGGAGATGATCACGAGGAAGAAGAATCAAAGTCTGTTGATTGAGCTTGGAAAAGGAGATGATCACGAACAATCAAAAGGAAGAAGAATCAAAGTCTGTGATTGAGCTTGGAAAGGAGATGATCACGAGGAAGAAGAATCAAAGTCTGTTGAAAAAGGAGATGATCATTGAGGAAGAAGAATCAAAGTCTGTTGACTGAGCTTGGAAAGGAGATGATCACGAGGAAGAAGAATCAAAGTCTGTTGATTGAGCTTGGAAAGGAGATGATCACGAGGAAGAAGAATCAAAGTCTGTTGATTGAGCTTGGAAAGGAGATGATCACGAGGAAGAAGAATCAAAGTCTGTTGATTGAGCTTGGAAAAGATGATCACGAAAGAAGAGAAAGTGATTGAGCTTGGAAAGGATGGATCACGAGGAAGAAGAATCAAAGTCTGGATTGAGCTTGGAAAAGGAGATGATCACGAGGAAGAAGAATCAAAGTCTGTTGACTGAGCTTGGAAAGAGATGATCACGAGGAAGAAGAATCAAAAGTCTTGATTGTTGATTGATCACGCAAAGTTGGAAAAAGGAGATGATCACGAGGAAGAAGAATCAAAGTCTGTTGATTGAGCTTGAAAGGAGATGATCACGAGGAAGAAGAATCAAAGTCTGTTGATTGAGCTTGGAAAGGAGATGATCACGAGGAAGAAGAATCAAAGTCTGTTGACTGAGCTTGGAAGGAGATGATCACGAGGAAGAAGAATCAAAGTCTGTTGATTGAGCTTGGAAAGGAGATGATCACGAGGAAGAAGAATCAAAAGTCTGTTGATTGAGCTTGGAAAGGAGATGATCACGAGGAAGAAGAATCAAAAGTCTGTTGATTGAGCTTGGAAAGGAGATGATCACGAGGAAGAGATGATCACGAAAGAAGAATCAAAAGTCTGTTGATTGAGCTTGGAAAGGAGATGATCACGAAGAAGAATCAAAGTCTGTTGACTGAGCTTGGAAAGGAGATGATCACGAGGAAGAAGAATCAAAGTCTGTTGATTGAGCTTGGAAAGGAGATGATCACGAGGAAGAAGAATCAAAGTCTGTTCATTGAGCTTGGAAAGGAGATGATCACGAGGAAGAAGAATCAAAGTCTGTTGATTGAGCTTGGAAAGGAGATGATCACGAGAAAGAAGAATCAAAGTCTGTTGATTGAGCTTGGAAAGGAGATGATCACGAGGAAGAAGAATCAAAGTCTGTTGATTGAGCTTGGAAAGGAGATGATCACGAGGAAGAAGAATCAAAGTCTGTTGATTGAGCTTGGAAAGAGATGATCACGAGGAAGAAGAATCAAGTCTGTTGATTGAGCTTGGAAAGGAGATGATCACGAGGAAGGAAAATCAAAGTCTGTTGATTGAGCTTGGAAAAAGAGATGATCACGAGGAAGAAGAATCAAAGTCTGTTGATTGAGCTTGGAAAGGAGATGATCACGAGGAAGAAGAATCAAAGTCTGTTGATTGAAAAAGGAGATGATCACGAGGAAGAAGAATCAAAGTCTGTTGATTGAGCTTGGAAAGGAGATGATCACGAGGAAGAAGATCAAAGTCCTGCTGACTGAGCTTGGAAAGGAGATGATCTGAGGAAGAAGAATCAAAGTCTGATTGAGCTTGGAAAGGAGATGATCACGAGGAAGAAGAATCAAAGTCTGTTGATTGAGCTTGGAAAGAGATGATCACGAGGAAGAAGAATCAAAGTCTGTTGATTGAGCTTGGAAAGAGATGATCACGAGGAAGAAGAATCAAAGTCTGTTGACTGAAAGCTTGGAAAGGAGATGATCACGAGGAAGAAGAATCAAAGTCTGAGCTTGAAAGGAGATGATGAGGAAGAAGAATCAAAGTCTGTTGAAAAAGGAGATGATCACGAGGAAGAAGAATCAAAAGTCTGTTGATTGAGCTTGGAAAGGAGATGATCACGAGGAAGAAGAATCAAAGTCTGTTGATTGAGCTTGGAAAGGAGATGATCACGAGGAAGAAGAATCAAAGTCTGTTGATTGAGCTTGGAAAGGAGATGATCACGAGGAAGAAGAATCAAAGTCTGTTGACTGAGCTTGGAAAGAGATGATCACGAGGAAGAAGAATCAAAGTCTGTTGACTGAGCTTGGAAAGGAGATGATCACGAGGAAGAAGAATCAAAGTCTGTTGATTGAGCTTGGAAAGGAGATGATCACGAGGAAGAAGAATCAAAGTCTGTTGATTGAGGAGATGATCACGAGGAAGAATTCTGGAAAGGAGATGATCACGAGGAAGAAGAATCAAAGTCTGTTGATTGAGCTTGGAAGGAGATGATCACGAGGAAGAAGAATCAAAAGTCTGTTGACTGAGCTTGGAAAGGAGATGATCACGAGGAAGAAGAATCAAAGTCTGTTGATTGAGCTTGGAAAGGAGATGATCACGAGGAAGAAGAATCAAAGTCTGTTGATTGAGCTTGGAAGGAGATGATCACGAGAAGAAGAATCAAAGTCTGTTGATTGAGCTTGGAAAGGATGATGATCGAGGAAGAAGAATCAAAGTCTGTTGATTGAGCTTGGAAAGGAGATGATCACGAGGAAGAAGAATCAAAGTCTGTTGATTGAGCTTGGAAAGGAGATGATCACGAGGAAGAAGAATCAAAGTCTGTTGATTGAGCTTGGAAAGGAGATGATCACGAGGAAGAAGAATCAAAGTCTGTTGATTGAGCTTGGAAAGGAGATGATCACGAGGAAGAAGAATCAAAGTCTGTTGACTGAGCTTGGAAAGGAGATGATCACGAGGAAGAAGAATCAAAGTCTGTTGACTGAGCTTGGAAAGGAGATGATCACGAGGAAGAAGAATCAAAGTCTGTTGACTGAGCTTGGAAAGGAGATGATCACGAGGAAGAAGAATCAAAGTCTGTTGATTGAGCTTGGAAAGGAGATGATCACGAGGAAGAAGAATCAAAGTCTGTTGATTGAGCTTGGAAAGGAGATGATCACGAGGAAGAAGAATCAAAGTCTGTTGATTGAGCTTGAGAAGAAGGAGATGATCAGATGACGAGGAAGAAGAATCAAAGTCTGTTGATTGAGCTTGGAAAGGAGATGATCACGAGGAAGAAGAATCAAAGTCTGTTGACTGAGCTTGGAAAGGAGATGATCACGAGGAAGAAGAATCAAAGTCTGTTGATTGAGCTTGGAAAAAGAGATGATCACGAGGAAGAAGAATCAAAGTCTGTTGATTGAGCTTGGAAAGGAGATGATCACGAGGAAGAAGAATCAAAGTCTGTTGATTGAGCTTGGAAAGGAGATGATCACGAGGAAGAAGAATCAAAGTCTGTTGATTGAGCTTGGAAAGGAGATGATCACGAGGAAGAAGAATCAAAGTCTGTTGATTGAGCTTGGAAAGGAGATGATCACGAGGAAGAAGAATCAAAGTCTGTTGATTGAGCTTGGAAAGGAGATGATCACGAGGAAGAAGAATCAAAGTCTGTTGACTGAGCTTGGAAAGGAGATGATCACGAGGAAGAAGAATCAAAGTCTGTTGATTGAGCTTGGAAAGGAGATGATCACGAGGAAGAAGAATCAAAGTCTGTTGATTGAGCTTGGAAAGGAGATGATCACGAGGAAGAAGAATCAAAGTCTGTTGATTGAGCTTGGAAAGGAGATGATCACGAGGAAGAAGAATCAAAGTCTGTTGACTGAGCTTGGAAAGGAGATGATCACGAGGAAGAAGAATCAAAGTCTGTTGACTGAGCTTGGAAAGGAGATGATCACGAGGAAGAAGAATCAAAGTCTGTTGACTGAGCTTGGAAAGGAGATGATCACGAGGAAGAAGAATCAAAGTCTGTTGATTGAGCTTGGAAAGGAGATGATCACGAGGAAGAAGAATCAAAGTCTGTTGATTGAGCTGGAGGAGATGATCACGAGAAGAAGAATCAAAGTTGGAAAAAATGATGATCACGAGGAAGAAGAATCAAAGTCTGTTGATTGAGCTTGGAAAGGAGATGATCACGAGGAAGAAGAATCAAAGTCTGTTGATTGAGCTTGGAAAGGAGATGATCACGAGGAAGAAGAATCAAAGTCTGTTGAAGAGGTGATGATCACGAGGAAGAAGAATCAAAGTCTGTTGACTGAGCTTGGAAAGGAGATGATCACGAGGAAGAAGAATCAAAGTCTGTTGATTGAGCTTGGAAGAGATGATCACGAGGAAGAAGAATCAAAGTCTGTTGATTGAGCTTGGAAAGGAGATGATCACGAGAAGAAGAATCAAAGTCTGTGATTGAGCTGGAAAGGAGATGATCACGAGGAAGAAGAATCAAAGTCTGTTGACTGAGCTTGGAAAGGAGATGATCACGAGGAAGAAGAATCAAAGTCTGTTGACTGAGCTTGGAAAGGAGATGATCACGAGGAAGAAGAATCAAAGTCTGTTGATTGAGCTTGGAAAGGAGATGATCACGAGGAAGAAGAATCAAAGTCTGTTCACTGAGCTTGGATAGGAGATGATCACGAGGAAGAAGAAGAATCAAAGTCTGTTGATTGAGCTTGAAGGAGATGATCACGAGGAAGAAGAATCAAAGAAAGGAGATGATCACGAGGAAGAAGAATCAAAGTCTGTTGATTGAGCTTGGAAAGGAGATGATCACGAGGAAGAAGAATCAAAGTCTATTGATTGAGCTTGGAAAGTAGATGATCACGAGGAAGAAGAATCAAAGTCTGTTGATTGAGCTTGGAAAGAAGATGATCACGAGGAAGAAGAATCAAAGTCTGTTGATTGAGCTTGGAAAAAAAGATGATCACGAGGAAGAAGAATCAAAGTCTGTTGATTGAGCTTGGAAAGGAGATGATCACGAGGAAGAAGAATCAAAGTCTGTTGATTTAGCTTGGAAAGGAGATGATCACGAGGAAGAAGAATCAAAAGTCTGTTGATTGAGCTTGAAAGGAGATGATCACGAGGAAGAAGAATCAAAGTCTGTTGATTGAAAAGGAGATGATCACGAGGAAGAAGAATCAAAGTCTGTTGATTGAGCTTGGAAAGGAGATGATCACGAGAAGAAGAATCAAAGTCTGTTGATTGAAGGAGATGATGATCACGAGGAAGAAGAATCAAAGTCTGTTGATTGAGCTTGGAAAGGAGATGATCACGAGGAAGAAGAATCAAAGTCTGTTGATTGAGCTTGGAAAGGAGATGATCACGAGGAAGAAGAATCTTGGAAGTCTGTCTGATTGAGCTTGGAAAGGAGATGATCACGAGGAAGAAGAATCAAAGTCTGTTGATTGAGCTTGATCACGAGAAAGGAATCAAAGATGATTGGAACGAGGAAGAAGAATCAAAGTCTGTTGATTGAGCTTGGAAAGGAGATGATCACGAGGAAGAAGAATCAAAGTCTGTTGATTGAGCTTGGAAAGGAGATGATCACGTTGATTGAGCTTGGAAAGGAGATGATGATCACGAGGAAGAAGAATCAAAGTCTGTTGATTGAGCTTGGAAAGGAGATGATCACGAGGAAGAAGAATCAAAGTCTGTTGATTGAGCTTGAAAGGAGATGATCACGAGGAAGAAGAATCAAAGTCTGTTGATTGAGCTTGGAAAGGAGATGATCACGAGGAAGAAGAATCAAAAGTTGATTGAGCTGGAAAGGAGATGATCACGAGGAAGAAGAATCAAAATCTGAATTGAGGAAAGAGATGATCACGAGGAAGAAGAATCAAAGTCTGTTGATTGAGCTTTGGAAAGGAGATGATGAAAAGTCTGGAGAAGAGATGATCAAGGAAGAAGAATCAAAGTCTGTTGATTGAGCTTGGAAAGGAGATGATCACGAGGAAGAAGAATCAAAGTCTGTTGATTGAGCTTGGAAAGGAGATGATCACGAGGAAGAAGAATCAAAGTCTGTTGATTGAGCTTGGAAAGGAGATGATCACGAGGAAGAAGAATCAAAGTCTGTTGATTGAGCTTGGAAAGGAGATGATCACGAGGAAGAAGAATCAAAGTCTGTTGATTGAGCTTTTGAAAGGAGATGATCACGAGGAAGAAGAATCAAAGTCTGTTGATTGTTGAGATGATGAGGAAGAAGAATCAAAGTTGGAAAGGAGATGATCACGAGGAAGAAGAATCAAAGTCTGTTGATTGAGCTTGGGAATGATCACGGAGAAGAATCAAAGTCTGAGGAAGAAGAATCAAAGTCTGTTGATTGAGCTTGGAAAGGAGATGATCACGAGGAAGAAGAATCAAAGTCTGTTGATTGAGCTTGGAAAGGAGAAGAATGATCACGAGATGAAGAAGAAGAATCAAAGTCTGTTGATTGAGCTTGGAAAGGAGATGATCACGAGGAAGAAGAATCAAAGTCTGTTGATTGAGCTTGGAAAGGAGATGATCACGAGGAAGAAGAATCAAAGTCTGTTGATTGAGCTTGGAAAGGAGATGATCACGAGGAAGAAGAATCAAAGTCTGTTGATTGAGCTTGGAAAGGAGATGATCACGAGGAAGAAGAATCAAAGTCTGTTGATTGAGCTTGGAAAGGAGATGATCACGAGGAAGAAGAATCAAAGTCTGTTGATTGAGCTTGGAAAGGAGATGATCACGAGAGAAGAAGAATCAAAGTGATTGAGCTTGAAAGGAGATGATCACGAGGAAGAAGAATCAAAGTCTGTTGAAGCTTGGAAAGGAGATGATCACGAGGAAGAAGAATCAAAGTCTGTTGATTGAGCTTGGAAAGGAGATGATCACGAGGAAGAAGAATCAAAGAAGAATCAAAGTCTGTTGATTGAGCTTGGAAAGGAGATGATCACGAGGAAGAAGAATCAAAGTCTGTTGATTGAGCTTGGAAAGGAGATGATCACGAGGAAGAAGAATCAAAGTCTGTTGATTGAGGAAGGAGATGAACGAGGAAGAAGAATCAAAGTCTGTTGATTGAGCTTGGAAAGGAGATGATCACGAGGAAGAAGAATCAAAGTCTGTTGATTGAGCTTGATGATCACGAGGGAAAAGAGATGATCATTGGAAGAAGAATCAAAGTCTGTTGACTGAGCTTGAGCTCAAAGTCTGTTGATTGAGCTTGGAAAGGAGATGATCACGAGGAAGAAGAATCAAAGTCTGTTGATTGAGCTTGGAAAGGAGATGATCACGTAGAAGAAGAATCAAAGTCTGTTGATTGAGCTTGGAAAGGAGATGATCACGAGGAAGAAGAATCACAGTCTGTTGACTGAGCTTGGAAAGGAGATGATCACGAGGAAGAAGAATCAAAGTCTGTTGATTGAGCTTGGAAAGGAGATGATCACGAGGAAGAAGAATCAAAGTCTGTTGATTGAGCTTGATCACGAAAGGAGAATGAAGTCACGAGGAAGAAGAAAGAAGAATCAAAGTCTGTTGATTGAGCTTGGAAAGGAGATGATCACTGAGGGAAAGGAGAATCACGAATCAAAGTCTGTTGATTGAGCTTGGAAAGGAGATGATCACGAGGAAGAAGAATCAAAGTCTGTTGATTGAGGAGATGGAAAGGAGATGATCACGAGGAAGAAAGAAGAATCAAAGTCTGTTGATTGAGCTTGGAAATCACGGGAGATGATCACGAGGAAGAAGAATCAAAGTCTGTTGATTGAGCTTGGAAAGGAGATGATCACGAGGAAAGAAGAATCAAAGATTGAGCTTGGAAAGGAAGAAGAATGAAAGTCTGTTGAGGAAGAAGAATCAAAGTCTGTTGATTGAGCTTGGAAAGGAGATGATCACGAGGAAGAAGAATCAAAGTCTTGTTGAAAGGAGATTGATCACGCAAAGTCTGTTGAAAAAGGAGATGATCACGAGGAAGAAGAATCAAAGTCTGTTGATTGAGCTTGGAAAGGAGATGATCACGAGGAAGAAGAATCAAAGTCTGTTGATTGAGCTTGGAAAGGAGATGATCACGAGGAAGAATCAAAGTCTGTTGAAGAAGAGATGATCAAGGAAGAAGAATCAAAGTCTGTTGATTGAGCTTGGAAAGGAGATGATCACGAGGAAGAAGAATCAAAGTCTGTTGATTGAGCTTGGAAAGGAGATGATCACGAGGAAGAAGAATCAAAGTCTGTTGATTGAGCTTGGAAAGGAGATGATCACGAGGAAGAAGAATCAAAGTCTGTTGATTGAGCTTGGAAAGGAGATGATCACGAGGAAGAAGAATCAAAGTCTGTTGATTGAGCTTGGAAAGGAGATGATCACGAGGAAGAAGAATCAAAGTCTGTTGATTGAGCTTGGAAAGGAGATGATCACGAGGAAGAAGAATCAAAGTCTGTTGATTGAGCTTGGAAAGGAGATGATCACGAGAAAGAAGAATCAAAGTCTGTTGATTGAGCTTGGAAAGGAGATGATCACGAGGAAGAAGAATCACAGTCTGTTGATTGAGCTTGGAAAGGAGATGATCACGAGGAAGAAGAATCAAAGTCTGTTGATTGAGCTTGGAAAGGAGATGATCACGAGGAAGAAGAATCAAAGTCTGTTGATTGAGCTTGGAAAGGAGATGATCACGAGGAAGAAGAATCAAAGTCTGTTGATTGAGCTTGGAAAGGAGATGATCACGAGGAAGAAGAATCAAAAGTCTGTTGATTGAGCTTTTGAAAAGGAGATGATCACGAGGAAGAAGAATCAAGTCTGATTGAGCTTGGAAAGGAGATGATCACGAGGAAGAAGAATCAAAGTCGTTGATTGAGCTTGGAAAAGATGATCACGAGGAAGAAGAATCAAAGTCTGTTGATTGAGCTTGGAAAGGAGATGATCACGAGGAAGAAGAATCAAAGTCTGTTGATTGAGCTTGGAAAGGAGATGATCACGAGGAAGAAGAATCAAAGTCTGTTGATTGAGCTTGGAAAGGAGATGATCACGAGGAAGAAGAATCAAAGTCTGTTGATTGAGCTTTGATCACGAGGAAGAAGAATCAAAGTCTGTTGATTGAGCTTGGAAAGGAGATGATCACGAGGAAGAAGAATCAAAGTCTGTTGATTGAGCTTGGAAAGGAGATGATCACGAGGAAAGAAGAATCAAAGTCTGTTGATTGAGCTTGGAAAGGAGATGATCAGAAGAAGAATCAAAGTCTGTTGATTGAGCTTGGAAAGGAGATGATCACGAGGAAGAAGAATCAAAGTCTGTTGATTGAGCTTGGAAAGGAGATGATCACGAGGAAGAAGAATCAAAGTCTGTTGATTGAGCTTGGAAAGGAGATGATCACGAGGAAGAAGAATCAAAGTCTGTTGATTGAGCTTGGAAAGGAGATGATCACGAGGAAGAAGAATCAAAGTCTGTTGATTGAGCTTGGAAAGGAGAATGATCACGAGAAGAAGAATCAAAGTCTGTTGATTGAGCTTGGAAAGGAGATGATCACGAGGAAGAAGAATCAAAGTCTGTTGAGAAGGAAATCAAAGTCTGTTGATTGAGCTGGAAAGGAGATGATCACGAGGAAGAAGAAATCAAAGTCTGATTAAGCTTGGAAAAGGAGATGATCACGAGGAAGAAGAATCAAAGTCTGTTGATTGAGCTTGGAAAGGAGATGATCACGAGGAAGAAGAATCAAAGTCTGTTGATTGAGCTTTACGAGGAAGAAGAATCAAAGTCTGTTGATTGAGAAATGATCACGAGGAAGAAGAATTTTGATTGAGCTTGGAAAGGAGATGATCACGAGGAAGAAGAATCAAAGTCTGTTGAAAAGGAGATCACGAGGAAGAAGAATCAAAGTCTGTTGATTGAGCTTGGAAGGAGATGATCACGAGGAAGAAGAATCAAAGTCTGTTGATTGAGCTTGGAAAAGATGATCACGAGGAAGAAGAATCAAAGTCTGTTGATTGAGCTAAATATCTACGAGGAAGAAGAATCAGAGCTTGGAAAAAGGAGATGATCACGAGGAAGAAGAATCAAAGTCTGTTGATTGTGCTTGATCAAAGTCATTGATTGAGCGACGTTGTTGATTGAGCTTGGAAAGGAGATGATTTTCTTTGATTGAGCTTGAAAAGAGATGATGACCTAGCTTGGAAAGGAGATGATCACGAAAGAAGAGATCAAAGTCTGATGTATCAAAGTCTGAGGAAGAAGAATCAAAAGAAGAATCAAAGTCTGTTGATTGAGCTTGGAAAGGAGATGATCACGAGGAAGAAGAATCAAAGTCTGTTTCTTTTGATTCCCCTCTTTTGAGTACCCTCTGACGATTGATGCATTCGAGGTTTAAAAATTATTTTGTTTAGCGTTTGAGAGAATTTTTATCTAATCCTATGCGCCTTCGGATATTTGTGTCACGTTTTCTTTATTTCCTCGAATTATTAGTTTTGGTTTTCATTTGGCAGTCTTCCAGACGACAGGAGCAGAGTTGCGGTGTCAAGGCCCGCCTTTTATCCATTTTGATTTGGATCTCAGATTGGTTGAGAGCTATAATCAGTGGAATGACTGAGAAGGATTTTCTTGTAATCACCCTAGTTGGAAATCGGCGTTGGTTGATGTTGATTGACTCTGATTAATAACATCGCTTATTCGGTATGGACTTTAGCGAAATATATATTTTTTCTATTTCAAGTCAACACAAGTGGCCAAAATAACTTCCTAATAAATATCCAGTTTCCTTTGACGTTGAGGGTTTTTTTTTGGTGACCTAAAAGCTAAAAGACTGTACACTACACATTTACACCAGAATTTTATATTACGCCATTCTTTTTTTTCTATGTACCGTGTCCCTTTAGGATGTAGGTGATCATGGATCTCCACCACTTCATTTTCTTTATAGATCTTAGCAATGTTTGTCTATATACTATTATTCCAGTCCTTGATATGTCATCAATTTATAGAAGCTCGTTAGATATGTTAGTCGTTGCTTCCCTCTGTACCTATTTCCTTCAGTGTGTGCTCTGTGTGTCAGATTTTCAAGGCGTACGTTTTTCATTATGTGTCCCAGAAATTTCAGACGTCGCTTTCCAATTTTCTGTATATTTATCGTTGTGTTTCCATTTTCTTTAAAACTTCATTGTTTACATACTCTGTCCATCCTTCTGTAGAAAACATAACGCTGTTACCTCGTCTCTTCTTCATCTATTGACTGCAATAGAGGAAGATGGAGATTAATAGCAGTTCTGAACTCCTTTCTTTGTTTCTATCAGAATGTTCTTCTCTCTTAATTAGCAGTTTTAAAAAAAATTGCTAGTTAAGTTTTTTATTTGCTAATGTTTTTATTATCAAAGTTTATTCAAAAACGTTTGTAATAAAAAGGTCATTTCACTTAAAATCTACCAAATTCACAATATGTCAACATGAGAAGTTAAATTCCTGTTAAGAAGACATCAGATATGTAAAGAAACCCTGTTTATGATTGGTCCACGTTCCAATGAAAATAGTTACCAAATTTTTCTTTGAAAAACACAGACCGTTTATTAATGAAAATTTTACGTACCAATCCACTCGTCTGTCTCACTTCAAGGCAATGTGGTTACATTCTTTAAGTTTTCATTGTTTACCATCAATAGTATTTCTTTTACATTTATTTTTATTTATCAATAAGTGTTTCTGTTAATTAATGAATAATAATTTTACTTAGCTTTCAGAGAATTGTCCGTAGATTGTATATAATCACCATTTCAAAATCTATCATCAATACTACATTTTGATTGGCTCATATTAATCAAAATCTATCACCAATACTACATTTTGATTGGCTCATATTATAAATTAGCAAATTCCTTATTTCTTCTTCCGGACAGATTTTTGGCTGTTGAAAGATGAAAATCTTGATTAGCAATCCATCCGCCCAATTTACTTCCAGGTAATATGACTAGATTTTTTTTTTTATTTGTGTTTTTATAATTATTTTCACTCATCTAAAAATTACCGATTTTGTTTCATTCAGATTTGCTTTGTTTTTTTAGTTTCAGTGAAATGTGTACCTAAACACCATATATTCATCATCTCAAAACATATTATTTAAATGAGGGAACCTCGATGTGGTGTAATGGTTAGAAAACTTGTCTTGCTAGAACAATTGCGACTGAGTAATGAGTTCGATCCCTACTCGGTGCTTCATACTTTCGGCCTTGTGCCATATCTGAGCTATGCTTCGAAAATCACTATATTTAGTTAAATTATTCTTCCTTTTGGTTGTTGAATAATTAAAAGGCCCTGAAAAGTTCACTTTTCTTTTGTTCGATTACTTTACAAATATTTCCCACTGTCAATATATTTTATTTTCATTTATTTATATATTTACGTAAGTCTTCTGATAGTCGTACTTGACGTAGTGGAGATGCTTCCGTGGTTCAATGAATCTGAGAGTGATGCCGTCAGGATTTCTAAGCTCCTTGTTGAGCCACCCTTTAGGGCATGACCGAAGACGAGGACTAAGCGCGACTAACTCCAAAGACCGCAAACAGTGGAACAAGCGGATGACGATTACAACAAATCTCAGCAGTTGAACCAGTGGGTGAAAAGGGCTACGCATGATGGATATGCTACAGAAGGCGTCACTAGAAATTATAACAAAATTCAGCGTCAGTCCGTTGCTGTTTCATAATTGGATTCTGCATGTCTCATTCCATATGTGACGCGGGGGAAGGTCACGAAATTAGATATGCGGGTCAATTCCTGGCAAGTTGAGGCCCACCTTAAACAAATTCACACCATCGGTAATTTCTTCTACTCTGATTTTGCTTCACCTCCAACCAAATCTTTCAAAGCCAAACAGTGACAAGGAATGGATGACGAGATCAGATTTTGGTGAAACTGGAAGTTTAAAGTCCCGAAGATGCAGTTTGGAGGCACATTTAGTCATCATGGCAATCATTATAAAGGAAGCGATCAGCAAAGAAGAAATTAAATTCCTCAATACGAGATAAAGCCGCCACTGGCCACGGTTTATCTCGGCCTAAAATCCTTTAAAAAAGATGAGTGTTTTCGGAAAAGAAAATATCAATCAGAAAGTATGGAACATTTTGCATGTTTTTCATTAGATTACAATTAGGTTAAATAATAATTCATTTCCGTTTTGTTTATTAATTATATTCTTCAATATATTTAAGCTGGTTCCCAAAAAACGAAATGACTTACGACTCGTTTTTACGTTCCAAAAGTCATGGAATAGATTCCGAGTATCACATAGGCGTCCATCTACCCGGGCGACGCCATGATTCCCAGATGAGTCGTTCTGCTTGGTGCATCCTGCTGATTCCTCTGTTCTCATATTTCATAGAAATTAAAAAATGTTAAAATTAGCTACTGGATACTTCTTGTATTGTATACGGATGTGATTTGAATCAGTGTCTGTTGCAACAGACAAATCTAACAATCTGCCTAATCATCTCTCTGTTGCTTCAAGTCTCATCTACCATATTAGAGGATAGATATAACAGGTTATTCGAAAGCTAATTAGAGACTTTAGAAGAAACTTTTATTTCTGAATAACTGTGTTTAAAGCAGTCATAACAGAGCTTATTTTTTACGAGTGTCATAAAGGATCCATTTCTCATCACAAGTCACTATTCAGTCGAGAAATAAATCATTCGAATTTCGCAGCTGCAGCATCGAACACACTTCAAAACATTGAACACTGACTTTAATTGAATTCATGTGGAGCAAACCATTTATCGAA